TCTGGTTCCTTTCCCTTGTTCCTCAGTGTTTCTGCTTCAGCTCCTGTGTCTGTTCCTGAGTTGTTTCCTAGTTTTCTCCTGTGAACCTGCTACCTGCATTTTCTACCTGTTTCCTGAACCTGTTTGCTCGCCTGTCGACTCACCTGCCAGTTCATCCTGCGAACCTGTTTCTCTTCAGTTACAGTATGTCCGTTAGTCTGCCTTTGTGTGTCCAGAACAGTCTACTCCTTTTGGAATGATAATCTATATATATCTAAGTGTTTGTAGATCTGAATGACCTCTGTTAGAAAACTGAAGCAGGTCAACATCTGTCACCAGCAGATATTTGCAGATGGAGAGAAAAGGAGCCTCAGTCTCACCTCTCTGCTTTCATGCGTCTGACTGAGCGTCTGCTGCTGCTGCTGCTGCTGCTGCTGCTGCTGGTGCTCTGTGCGCTGCGTCGTCCACCTGAGCTCGGCCTGAGACGACCGAGGAACACACTCCAGGAAGGTGGAGTTTCCCTCCACACCGTACACCAGCTTCACCTCCACAGACTCCGAGTCTGAGTTTAAAAAGAAAGAGAGATAAAAAAAAACAATTTGTGAGAATCTGAAACAGGAGGGACGATAAGAATCAGTTTCTCTCAACGTCGACGCTTCACAGCTTTAACAGGAAGAGAAACAGAAAGGACACAAGACAAGAAACACACATTAACATTTTATAGACACATTTATATGAACAGTTAAACATCAATTTATCCTTAATTGGAATAATCTTTGCTGCCAGGGGAAGTAGAGAAAACTGCAGTTACACAGTTCATCCCCTAGATGGCGCCCTGCGTCTGCTTTCACAGCAGAAAGGAGACGAGGGAAACTACTGTATCCTCTCACCTCACCTGACAGAGGAGATGTAAAACTACACTGAGATGCTTTTTGGTTCTTAAAACCACAAATATTTCTTCTTATGGATATCAGAGTAAAATATGAACCTTTACTAAAAGACAAAAGACTTGGAAAACTGTGAACTTATCCTTTGAGTCTGCACACCGACTGTTTCTGGGACGTGAGCTACATACTTACAACCTGCTGAGATTTAATAGCGCTGTACTGGAAACAATCTTCTGTCGTCTCTTATTTGGACTGTTCAAACATTCGGCATCAAGACCGATTCATCACATGTATTTGAGTTTAATAGAAGGAGCTCGTGTACACTCAGCGACTCACGCAGATCTCAGATAACAGATAAAGCAGACTGTGACGTTTCACATTCCGGCTCTGCAGCAGCACTTGAGCATACGTGATCAATCACACGGGGTGTATATGTGAGTGGAAGTCCTCTGTTCCTGTAGTGCACGCTGTAGTGACAACACTGGAGCTCCATCGTGTAACTGACGGCAGTTTATTTATATCAGACGGTGGAAATCCTTACCGTCCTCTGTGAGTGGGCACTGGCTCCAGGGGTCTCCGTATTTTATATCCTGTCTGCGTGCCCGCCTAACACACACACACACACACACACACAGAGACAGACAGAGGTTTTATAATGTGTTTCTTGATGTGTATTTGTTTGAAACTGTGTGTACATGTTGCTTTCAGTTGAATTTAAAGGAGTAAACCACTGATCTTCAACATCAGGGTCAGTTTATCTGTCCTGGGCGCTACCACAGAAAAATAACCCTGACGATGTCGTTCCAGTGTAAATCAGTGTTTATCTCAGCTTGTGACTGAAAACCTGCAGCTGAGGTGGAGCTGAGCTGCACTGAAGCAGCTGAAGGATTCACCACAGACTCAGACACTAGAGGCAAACACAAGCCGGTCCTCGGCACTGCAGGTTCAACTTTATACAAACATCCCTGTTGCACTTGTTTTGATTCCCTCTGCAAAACAGCTGTTAGCAGCTGTTAGCCCGTTAGCTCCAACTCAACTTTATGACAGCACCAAACAAATGTGGGAAAATGTGATCATGGAGGTAAACAGCTTCCCCATTTAATATAATATAACAGCAGTATAATGGATGGCAGTAACTGTCCAATCAGAGCTCAGTATGTAAATCACACGATTAGCACAAAACACACCTGCGAGCTTCAGGCTTAGGTCTGTATGTGTGCATGTGGTGTAAAACTGAATGACTTTATATCTTCTTACTGTTTCTTCTCATTTTATCAATCATTAATTGTCTGTAAAAACTTTAAACTCCTCTATGATGAGGGAGAACTGTGCTGAAAACATTAATAATGTGGGTTAAAGGTGTGTGTGCACTGATGTAGACAGCAGACTCATCAGTTAAACAACAGCTGACAGCAGCAGATAATGCAGCTGCCTTTAGATAAAAGTGTGAAGCAGCGTTAAATCCTCCTCCTCACTGTCGTTACTCCCGTCGGCTGCTCGGGGGTGAAAATACGAAGCTACTGCGATTATGAAGAAGAAAACACGGAGCAAGAGGAGGTCATGAAAATACAGAGTGTTGTTTCAGCCATGGTAAAGAGTGTTGTCACGTCTCCCCTCCTCCTCTCTCGGTTTTCTGTCCTTTAAACTGAAGCAAATCTGAATCCTTTCCTCTCCTTTATCCTTTCCATTAGTGTTTGCATGTCTTCTCTTATTTCTGACAGGTACAGAGCTTCCCTCCCTCCCTCCCTCTCTACCTCTTGCTGGTGGGGAAGTATCTGGAGCAGGTCTGTCCGTCCCAGGAGCAGTAGGGGTCTCTGGCGAGGCAGCACTCAGCGCAGTCGGTCCCGTATAACTCGCACCTCTGGAGCCCCAGCTGGACCACGCCGAGCTCGCTGGACACGTACAGCTGTTGCTGTGGGCGAGAGGGAGAGATTCAGTTCATCATTCTGACTACTGTTAAAAGAAGAGAGAGAGCTGGAGCTGACATCTTTAAAAATTCACTGCTGAAAATTCATTTTCAGAGGCTGATTTCACTGTAAAATATAATATATTATATAATTCTTCTCTTTATTTATTTGATTTTATTTAAGGATTTCAGTGATAAACATTTGTAACATTACGTTTTTTATGCAAAACCAATTTTAAAATAAGATAATATAAAAACCACTTTGTGAAACCAGAGTTTGCCACTGCGGTTAAGTCAGTAACTGAGTCATGACCACAGTCGCTCTCACACTGAAAACACAGCAGTTTTCCAATAAAACCTGGTAATAAAAAATGATTACTTGATTAAAAAAAGGCGCTCGGATCTGTTTATAACGTCTTTGTTAGTTCTCACACAGACAGACACACAGACGTCTCATAGACCTACTCTCTTGGTCGACAGCTCCATGCTCAGGACGGGCGAAGGACTCTGTGGGATGAAGAGGAAAATGGATGAATGTAGCTGCTGCATTACACAACAAACACACAACATTTACACACTCATACTCACACATCCACAGATTTTCTTCTTCTTCTGTGTTTTATTTTAAAGTGTTGATCCATAAGAAGATATATTTGTAGTTTTCTGACTGATCCAGTAAAAATAAAACAGATTTCAGGTAAAAACACTCAGAGAAACCAAATCCTGCAAGGTTTAGATGGTGGGTCCAGGTGGGCGGGGCTTGGTGACTGCTTTGTTGTGACATCACAAAGTTCCAGAAGTCCTGACGGCTGGTTTTAAGGCTCAGTTTCTGAATACAGGCTGTGTGCATTTCTCTGTGGACTGAGGCTTTGATACTTTCACAGTATTAATATAGAAGCTAGACCTGATCTATAATCACACTACACATGGACACAGACCTTTACACAACAGTGGTAAATGAACACAGGTTTACTTTATTCTGGCATTTCTTCCCATATTTTGCCAGATTGTGATGTATTATATAACTGTTTAATTTACTGAATAATGGCATAAATTAATATGCACAACAAACAGCATAGAAACACGCTTAGTATAGAACAACGAATAAAGATAAAAGGCTTCATATTCTCAGCTATGATCATCTTTGTAAGCTGGTTTTCATACTGTGGTGCTGGATCAAGACGCACTGAAATATTCCAGATGATCAGAAACTGGAAATAGGTCTTTAATTTCTGTGTGTGTTTAAGTTAACTAACTTTTTCTGGACCGGGTGGGTCCACACATGAATAAAAGCTTCATTCATTCAGTCACACCGAACTACAGTACGCCCACTGTTTGCAGACAAACCTGGAGGAATGTAAGAAAGAGCTTCGGCTCGCATGACTGACACAAGAACTATCAGCATCGATCTTTAACCGGTCTGATATTCTACCCTTGCGGAGGTGGAGGAATGCCCTCAGAGCCGCGTTAAACGCTGAGGCCTGGCCTCTCGGGGTCAGGGCGGCGACTGAGATTAGAGATCTAATGAGTCTCTTTCTTCCTCCGAGGGCTTAATGATCCCACAGCTCCATTTCTCCAGCTCACTGACTTGTTTCAGCGAATGATGAAGGGAGTCAACGACCCCTGACCGCCTCTGAGTGGAGGGGTCGAACTGAAGCAGGAGATGAAGGAGAGTCGGGATACGGTAGGCGGCGGGAGAAAGCAGAATTTTTACAGTGATATGTCTGTCCGGTCTCCTGTCGCGGCCAGCAGACCGACCGACCGTTCAAACGCCTGCGACCTGAAACCCGGTCAGGGAGAAAAGCGGCCTCTACCCGCTCCAACCCACCCGACCTTCAGGGGATAGAAACTATGAAGTAAACAGGGCAGTTCATCACACAGCTGTAGAGTCGGTGCCACCTGTTTGACCCCCTGCCCCCGATGTGTGTGAGTCTGCTGGAAATGGGTTAGTTCCTGTTTTAATCTCAGTTAGACGTAAACAAACAATGAGCATCTGGTATCCTGTTTGTTTGTGGCTGTTTTTGTGTGTCGCGGTTTTCGGTCTTTCCTCCTTCCCTTCACCTGTGCTGCGTTTTCATTCCCTCTTTAATCTTCGCCTTATTTTTCCTCTGCTTTTGTTTTTTCTTTTTTTTTAATAACATTCATGCTCTTCCCTCCTCACTTCCCCGGCTCCTCTCTGCTGCTGCTCTTCCCCCGTTAGTTTGTTCACATCGGGGACCTTGGGAAATATGTGCCCTGCTATCTGTTTTTCTGTTTACTGGAGTTATTCCAGACAAATATGTTCCATTGGAAAAGGACGTGCGAGGCCTCACGCAGCACATCACATGGTGCAGGGCTGGCAGATGGGCACCGGGAGACACCGAAACAAGCTCCGACTTTCACCATAAAAGTCCTGTGGAGCGACATGTGTGTGTGTGTGTGTTTGTGTGTGTGTGTGTGTGTGTGTGTGTGTGTGTTTGGCTGTGTGTGTTTGGCTGTGCAGTTTGATATCAATGTTTCTGTGGGAAGATGCGAGTCAAAGGAATAAACCTAAGAGCTGTTTACCATCAGTAAAAACCACCTGCTGTGTCACTGTTTTTGCTTCATTTGTAAGAAGCAGCTGTCATTCAAAAACTTGTATCTCACCTGGAAGACGGTCAGTTCCTCTAGAATGATCTCCTCCGTGTCCCAGTTGTCTTTGCTGACCGACACCGCCTTCACCACCTTCCCATCGTCTGCAACATAACAGAAGAAGACGTTCACTGAAACACGCAGTAGTTAGGATCTATTACACTGAGGCTCTGATGCGTCACTAAAACATACATTTAATTCATATTTAGGCTTTTTGAAGCAGAAAAAACAATATTTCTATTAAATATTTAAAGTGACATTTTACTTTTAGCATTTATTACAAGTATATAAACATTTAATAGACACAGTAATGTAGTTATAAGCAGGTATAAGGACATTTTGAAGTTTTTATTAATGTTATCTCTATGTAACTCATATTGTTATCCATAACTGTTTATACAGCAGCTGCAGTGGTTGATATATACATTAATAAACACTATATGAAACACTATTTTTTATTACATTACACTATTACAGTGTGTTATAAACCATTTATCACTTATTACAAATAGGGACGTTTTGTTTTGACTGAACTAAGAGGTGAACTGGTGGAAGTTCAGTCCTTTAACACCAGATACGCCTCGAGGAAAAATAAATGAATCCCCCTGAACTTCACAGTGTTGTTGAGACTGAGGAAAATATGTGTCCTGTGAAGAATTGGAAATGTGGGCAATGAGATTTTAATGATTCAACAGTTAAATTAATGACCTGCAGGTTTCCCCCTCCTGCTGACGCACCGACTCACGCTGTGCGCAGCGTTCAGCAGCAGGAATATGTGCTGGTTTAAACTGTGAAAACACTGTTGCTAGGAGAAAGAAATGTCTGCTGCTTTTATTTAATCATAAATAGTGACAGATCTTGTGTTTGTTTTGTAAACCTTTAATTCTCACGGGGTTTTCAGAGTTGGAAACAGTAACACACACACAACATAACAATATATATTGTCACCACAGGTCGAGCTGATCAACGGAAAATTTCATTGGCAACTATTCTGATAATCAAATAATCATTTTAAGTCAAATGTGATGGTTTCAGCATCTGGATTTTAGAGCCTTGGTCGGACAGAACATCAGGGAACCTGTTACAACTTTTTCTTTACATTCTCATTCCCCGTTATTCTATATTTAAACAATGAAGTCACTTGTTTAGTATCTCGTTTCATGTAGATGATCCACTTTTTTCAATTTCTGCCTAAAATATTTCCGTCAGTATTTCCACTGAATACATTTCCTGAACAATATCTAGATATGCACTTTCCCTGTGTCGTAAGCTTTTACGTCACTTTCTTGATCCAGCTGCAGTTTTTCTTTAAGAGCGACTGAACATCAGGACGCAGCATGAGCGGAGGAAAAAATGATGATATGATTATAATTATGATATTATTATAATTCTTGTCATTAAACATAAACAAACCTGTACCCGGCAGCAGTATATTATTAATAATTATCATTCCCATGTTTTCTGCTCATGTGAAAAGATTTTCCATGTTTTGGAAACAATATATTTTACAATTTATTTTTATTTTTTATTTTTTCCAGGTCATAAAATATACCAAAAAAAATAAGTAAAAAGTGACAAAAACATCGCTAAACATTCTACAACTGTTGCCACGGTAACACAGGACACATTCTATAGTGAGTAACCTTAGCAACGGAGGGATCCTGAAGCTAAATGCACACAATGTAGCAAACCTCACAACTAGAACACACACCAGCTGCTGCGGTGAAAACAAACACCACGTGGTGAAAACACAGACGCACACATCAGCTCACAGAGACACACACACACACACGCTGTCACTGTACATGCACACGTTTGAACATACACATGCAGAAATTCAAAAACAAGAAGTGTATACACACACACACACACACACACACACACACACAAACAGAAAGACACACACATAATGTCAGGATGCTCCCAGGGAACCTCAGAGATCTCTCTGTGGGAAAACGCGTCTGTGTGTGTGTGTGTGTGTGTGTGTGTGTGTGTGTGTGTGTGTGTGTGTGTGTGTCTACAGAGGCAAACAAGCCTCCCCTACATGGACTAATGCTGAGCTGAGATGTGTGTGGTCATCAGAGACTTCTGTCATTTCATCTCAGAGCTGGAATCAAATCCCGTCAGCTCGGGTCCGAGGAGTTTGAAGGAGATGATGATGATCTTTTATTCTTATTATACAAGTTAAACACAGACAGTAAAACACGCTGTGAGCTGCAGACTGTGTTTGAACCCTCAGCTGGGTGGGCGTCAAATATCATTTACTCGACAGATGTTCCTGTTGGAAACATTTAATATAGTTTAGTTTGAATTAATAAGATGTTCTGTTGGAAATCAGAAGTGTTTATAGGTGTAGTTGTTCTGAGCCGGCTGAGAACCGGGGGTGGGGGGGTGGTGGGGGGTGCATGACATCAAAATGTAAACATGAGGAAAATATTTTCACACGGTCTCTCCCAGGAGACTCTTATTGTCTGAGGACTGTTGTTTTGCTTTTGGTTTCTGTTTTTCTTCTCAAAGGTCAAACACAGGACGGACAGACAGACAGACAGACAGACAGACAGACAGACTAGATAGATAGATAGATTAAACTGATGTTGATGGAATGATTCACACCCAGAAAACAATATTTTTCTCTTCAGTTACAGTCGCCGCTGAGACAGTCTTTTACACATTCACTCATTCATTCACAGCTGGACGCTCCCCAGTCCAACCAGTCCTCCACTGGAGGCCCGAGGAGTCACGTGGGTTTTAACGTTTCGTTCTCAAAGGCGCAGTAATGTTAATCAATAATAAAACAGCGAGTGAGTTTTCACGCTGCAGAGCTCCAGGCGACAGATGCACCAGCGTGAAGTTCTCACATCTGAATTATAAAGAGCCTCCAGTTAGGACACACACACACACACACACACACACACACACACACCTCCTCTCTCTCTCTCTCTCTCTCTCACAGACTCTCCCACTCACTCTGTCCTGCTGCCTAAATGTGGATTAATCCGCCGCTGAAAAATAGTCCCTATGATCTCTAATGCATTATTTCCTCTTGTTTTAGTATCCATCCACTTCCTGTCACTTATCCGGGGTCAGGTGGAGGTGGAGGTAGTCCAGACGTCCCTCTCCCCAGCGACATTTTCCAGCTCCTCCCGGGGGGATCCTGAGGCGTTCCCAGGTCTGATGAGATATATCCCTCCGGCGTGTTCTGGGTCTGCCCCGAGGCCTCCTAGCCAACCAGCTGAAGGTGCCTGCAAGACCTCCGATGGAAGGCGCCCAGGAGACATCCTCACCAGACGCTCGAACCAACTGGCGCCTTTCAAGTGCGGTGGAACAGCGGATCTACTTCCAGCCCCTCCTGGATGTGCGAGCTCCTCGTAAATCGAGATCTTTGTCTTCCGGTTCGGCTCGGGTCCGGTACAACGTCTGCTTTACTGCTGACATCGACACCGCCACCGACCCGTCTGTCAATCTCCCGCTCCGTCCTCCCTTCGCTCGAGATCTCAGGGTCATGTTTTGGTAACGTCTGCTAAAAACTAGCAGCCAGCTGTTTTAGGAAATTACTGAACCTTTTTTTGAAGTAAGGAATGAATGGACTTCCAGCTGAAAGAAGGTGTAAAAGCATCATGGTGTTCGTTGACCGTAACAAATATGAAATAACGCCTGTTTCATCCTTTAAAATAAATACATAAAAAATTCCTACTTCTTTGTTCTACACTGTTATTTACTAATTATTTCTACACACTTTATCCACTTAATATGGATTACTGGGTGTGCGAGATGCGTCAGGTTACAGGTTTAGTTCCATGAAGGGAAAACTGACGTATTTGAAACATAATTTTGGGGAATTAAAAAAATATAAACTAGTATGGGAGAAATGTTTACAGCTAATTAAGCTTTTAAAGAGCTTGAAAACTTTTTCTTAAATGTCACAATGTTGAGTTAAAACAGGGATGAACATGCGCTTAAACCTGTAAGCCACTAAATGCATATTTTATTTCTAGAATAAACCACCTTGGCGTGCGCACGTGGCTCAGCAGCACGATAAATTAAAAAAAATAAAAAAAGAGACGTAATCCACCTCAACAAACGGCAACAAAATCATCTATCAGACGGCGAGACGAGCGGAGAGAGAGGCTGATCCTCGACACTTGAAAGAGCAGAAGGAGCATTTATCAGGCAGGTGAATGTGCAGCTGATGGGGAGATGAGAGATGTTGGAGAGGAATCCACTTAGAGGAGACGAATGGAGCCATCGAGGGACCTCTGGCCCCCCGGCCTGTCACCAGCCGTTAAATAACCTCCACCATTTATCACACACACACACACACACACACACACACACACACACACACTGTCAAACACACACACCAGGTTACTGCAGCTGGTGCTTTGGGATAAAACAGTGAACTCTTCCATTTCCCGCCTCCACGGGTTCTTTAACGAGATAATGAAGCACACGCACACACACACACACACACACACACACTCGTCCTAAATGACGTTTTAACGATGTGACATGGTTAAAACACAGAATTGTGGAAAGATGTTTGTGCGTCTCATATGTCACCTTCCTGCTCGAGCCACGGAACCAAAACCACAAAGTTAAAAACCAAAGTTAACGCAGCTCTGAAGGAGTTTCCAGGATCCTCACAGACAAATCTTTTCTTGTTTCTCAAGTGGCTCCTTTATTTCTGAACCACTGGAACTTCCTCGTTTTGTAAAACACAAGAACATACCGACATATGATTTAGTTCGTTAGCAAAAGAGTTCGTTTACAGAACAATAGAAAAATAAAAGCGACTGTAAAATTCTTTAAGTTCGCTTCATGTGTTTTTTGAAAAGTCACGTCGGTCCGATGGTTTCAGACGAACGTGGACGTTATTAAAGCTCAGGTTTAAAAACCTTTTTACCAACATGAACCTTCGCTCTGTCTCATTTCTTTGCCTCCGGATCATCTCGTCTTTCTGTTTTCTTTTATTCGACTGATCTTTTCTTTGTGTTTCCAGTTTTTTTTATTGCTCTAATTTGCACTTTAATCTTTTTTCTTTTAGTTTATTATTATTTCACACTTTTTAATGCCTCAGAATAAACCTTCTCTCCATGCCTCTGTCATCCCTCGTCCTTCACACCCTGTCCTCTTTTACTCCTTCCACACTCCTCCTCCTCCTCCTCACCTGTGCCCAGGTGTAAGACGTCGTACGGTCCCTCCTCAGCGTCCACTCTGTCCACCACCACCCTCTTCAACATGTAGGGCGCGTTGATGCGGGTGATAACGGGTCTGCCGCCCAGAGGCAGCACCGGCTCCCACATCAGCTGGTGCTGCCGCATGAAGCTCACCACCTCGTCCGGGAAGTCTTTGGTGGACTTGTGCAGAGCGTCGTAGGTCTCGCTGGGACACTGGAGGAGCGAGAGGAAAAATATCATCAGCATTACGTCATTAAGAAAGGGACAAATGATGAGGATGTCAAGTAGATGCCAAAATCTGAAGGGTTCACAACCACGAACCAAAAGATGTTGGTAATTATCTGATACCAAAATGTGATATTCTCATTAATAAAAGTCAAAATCCACCTCGGACACACTTTACTTCAGTATATTCACACTTACACACTGAGAACAGACGGCGACTGCACCAGACATTAGAAAATGAGACATTACAGCAGCAGCAGATGGACAGAGGGGCAGACAGGAGGAGGAGGAGGAAGAGAGAGGAAAGCTCGTTCGGAAAAATGTAACTTTTTAGATAATGTCAAAGTTAATGTTGATTTGTGGAGAGAGGCGTAAGTTTCTCTCGATGAAAGGAGATGAAGAGGAGAAAGATGGGAAAAGTGCAGAGCAGAGGTGAAGAGATGTGCCGAGGAGGTGAGATGAAGACTGATGAACTGATGAGAGAAAAACAAAAATGTTTAAAGTTAAAGAATATTTTAGGACGAATCAACAACATGGAAGCCATTATTTCCTGTGCAGTGAGTCAGTGATCAGAGGTCCTGACCGCAGCATCTCTGTGACTGTTTCATGCTGCTTTTAATCATTCTGCCTCCACCCTCCACCCACACACACACACACACACACACACACACACACACACACACACACACACACACACACACACACACACACACACACACACACAGCGACGTGGCCGACCTCTTCTGCAATCGACCACATGATAGAAAACCCCTCGGCTCCCCGGAGAGGTGAATTCCCCAGCAGGGAGGGCGAAATAACACCTGACACACTGAAACACTAAAAGCTGAGCCACCCTGACAGGTTGAAGCTTCCCAGAGGAGTTCACGGCCGAAGGTGTTAAATCAGCCGAGGTTAACCCTCTCACAGCGGCGTCGGCTTGTTTTCATCAGACGTGTTCGGAGTCCGATCTCGCAGGAAATTCACACAAACATAAATACCGTCCTCTCGTCGCTGTAGTTACAAAGAATTATGAGCCGTGAGATTTAAAGGTCCCATAGAGGCTCAGAAGCTCGGAGCTCTGATGGCTGCTTTGTTGTGACATCACAAAGTTACAAGAAGTCCTGACGGCTGGTTTTAAAGCTCAGTTTCTCAGCGCTTTGATGCTTTCACAGTCTTAATATAGAACCTAGACCTGATCTATAATCACAAGAGACTTATATCTATACAAAATGGGACCTTTAATGAGCAATAATATTAATAAGCATAATCTAATCATTAAAATGTCAGTTCACCTGAAAAGTTTGTTGAAAGAGTTTTTATCTGCGAGGTTTTGAGATTTGTAAGTCAGGAAGTAAAACATAGGTGGATGGAATTTGATTGATTTGAAAAGAAATAAAAAAATTACAATCAAGCGTCCCTGCTGCACCGGAAAACCCACTGAACTCAGTGTAAACAACAGAGTCCATTTGTTGTAAAGTGTAGTTCCAGCAGATGAATCAAACCTTGGAACAAAACTAACTGCATGACTCAGAGCTGAGCCTGAACACACTGTAAACGATACTGTAGGTGAGAAGACAAGATAAGGAAACGTGTCTTCTGCAGACTGTACGGTTGTGAGGACACGTTGTATTTGCATTGGTGCCTGTGTGGACTCACAGCTCCAGGTCTCGGGTAGGGGATCCGGCCTTTGTACTCCACCCAGCGATAGTCAGGACCTTCTTTGTGGGCAAACGGCCCGTTGAAAGCCGCACGGATGGACGCCATGGAGTAGACGCACACCGCCGAACCGCGGAATATAGAGCTGCGGGAGAGAGAGAGAGAGAGAGTTGGTGTTCGCTGTGATGGAAAGAAAAGAGAGAGGGTCTGAGGAGGCAGGTTAGAAGTAAAGGACAGCGACACTCCTCAGAGACAAAGAAGAAAGAAAGCGATGAAAGAGTGAGAGAGAGAAAAGGAAAAGAGGGGAGAATATGAAGAAGAAGGAGAGGCAGAAAGAAGCTGGAAAACAGAACAACAAGGAAGGATGAAAGAGGAGCAGAAGAAAGGAAGGAGGAAGGAGGGATGGGAGGAGACGAGGGGACGAGCGAGGGAGGAGAGGGGAGAGCTTTAATACGTCAGGGTTACAATAACACATCCAGCCGGGCCTCTTCACCTCTGACCCCGGCACCCACCCACCAACACCCGACCTCTGATCTTCCACACACCGCTGGGCGTGCACGTGCAACTGCCTGGCTGTGAGCGTGCACGTTAATGAGTGACCCTGACTGACTCTATGAAGAAGTTTCCTTTATTTATTTTTTTTTTTACAAAGTTAGGCACCAAAAAGCTGAAACGTTAAATGAGACGTGTTTCCATCAGCTGGGCCGAATGAAGTAAACAACACTGTGTGTTTGTGGAGCTGCTGCTGCCACAGACGACGGTGCGTCCTGTAGGAATAATTCTGGAAACTTGGGCTCTGAGATTATACATTTATGACATAAGCTGCTTGTTAAAGGAAGAACAAATAAATTCAAATAAAACAAAAGAGAATTTAGTCTTTAGTCTGGCACCAGACCATAATGTATAGACATCCAGTCTTAATAAAACAGAGCAGTGAAATGAACTAAATATGAATTTTTCTAATTTGTTAGAAGAAATCAAAAAGTTTCAGATTGATGTTGCTGATTTTTAATGTTGCTCATGTTTTATTTTTCGTTTCCAAGACAAAAATCAAGTCGTTTTATTTAAATAAAAACTGCACATAGACATAAACATATAAATGGGGCAAACAGCAACTTTAATTGTCAATCTCCTGAGGAGTGAACTCTCACCTGGAGGTGCTGAAGACGCCATAAATGGTGGGATTCTGAGGGTCCTTGGTCTCCAGGACGAAGATGTCCTCTGGGAAAAAAAAAAAAAACAACCAGAGAGAGACAGCATTTAAATTTAACGCTGTGACACTGTTCGCTCCTCATACAGAAGAGTCAGGCGTGGACAACCTGTCATACAGTTTGTGCTTCAGTCGGCTGTAAAGAGCTTTGACCTGCAGTAACCTACAGTACATGATGCGGCCCTACACAAATTGATAATTAATACATTTCCAAATAAGCACAAAACTTTCTGCGGAGGGAGTTTGCAGCTCGGTAAATCATTTCAAAAATCGTGAGGTGAGAAAAGACAGAGGGAGGGAGGGAAGGAAAGGTTCCTGGCGAGATAAAGAAATGAAAACACAGGAGGGGGAGCAGCTGTTTAACCTGTGTCCAGGTTAAACAAGAAAAAAAGGGAGGGAGGGAGGGAGGGCGGGAGGGAGGTGAGGAGGCAGACGGAGAGGAAGGAAAAGGAGGGAAGGGAACGAGCGGTGTTACCTAGCTCATCGAACTGCGTGTCGACTCCGGACGGTCCGGGGACAGAACAGACCAGCCGCGCTTTGAGGAAGGTCGTCCAGCGGTTGATCAGACTCCTCTTCCCCCCGACGTCGTTCTGGGTCGAGAGAGAGAGAGAGAGAGAGAGAGAGAGAGATTTTCAAAATATAATATATCTTAATTTTCTTGACTTTCCCTCAGTTACAGATGCATCTAATCAACATTAAAACAGAATCACTGAAGGACAAATCTGAGATACTTTCATGCTTCTTTACTTTTATTCATCTACGTTTCAGTATTTATTTATTTTACTTCTTTACTCCAGTGTAATTATTATTTCACAGCTGTAGTTACTGTACAGATCATCTTAATACAAAGCCCCTGAAGAGCTCATGAAATACGACCCACTGTAGATTAAAATGAGATGTTTTTATTCTGTGAAGCACTTTGTGTTGCACTGTTTGCATGAAAAGATACAAGTAAAGTCTGATTGATTGATTGAGTGATTGATTGATTGATGCACAACAGTAAATGAAATGAGATCTGAAACAATGAGTTAATAATAAAATAATCACTTTATCTTAATATTTCATGGCTCCAGCTTCTTAAAGGTGAGAATCATTTGATTTTCTGTCTTAAATCCTCAAATAATAAATAAATCTTAAGTATTTTCTTGAATAATCTGAGAGTTGAAACTGAATGATTTGGCGTTTCGAGTATTGATTGATCAAGATGAAGACGTCAGTCTGGGCTCCGGGGATGTGTGATGGAGATGTCAAAGATGCCAAATCAGAAGATTCAGTTTCAATAAACAAAATAATCCTCACAATCCTATAAAACTAGATTTATTCTAATTGGCTACAACAGGAAAATGTTGCTTACACTTTAATGCATCGGTGTGAAACTCGCATGGGACATTTTTCTGCATCGATTCTTTTCATTTACGACACTTTAAGAGTTTAAAGTTAAACTTTAATGCAGGAACCTCACTGCTGTGTGTGGTTCTGCTGAACTGACTGTGTATTTAGTCTTTTGTCTCTTGAGTTTCTACCTTGCAGACTCGAGCCACGCGACTGTACACCCTCTTGTCCCACTGTCCCGCCTCCACCGCCCTCTCCTTGAAGAAGAAGTAAACCTTGTCGTCGTCGGGACTGTGAGTGTCGGGGATGGAGAAGGAGCCCACGAACTCCGGCTCTGAGGGAGAGAGAGAGAGAGAGAGAGGAGACAGTTTGGCTGAACGAGTTTTAATGCGAGGCCGCGGCGTTTAAGAGTCAGAGCTCAGACCGCAGCGTCTTACCGTTCAGCCAGTTCTGGTCGTAGGCCTCGGTGCGGATGTAATGTTGGCTGCTGCCCTGGATGGTCGTACGGAAGATCGCAGCGTTGGCTCCCATGAAGTCCACGGAGGTTCCTGCGTAGAGTTCCCCGTCTGCGGACACACGGCAGCAGAAACCAGGTTTTGCGTTAAAAACAGAACAACAGCTTTTCCTCCTTTCCGCCCTCCTTGAGATTGATCTCATGCGTTGACCAATGCAGAGCTGCTCCATCCGTGTTAACAAGCCTCAACATGTTCAATTACAGGACGCCTCTTCACTGTCAACAGCCCCGGAGCCTCCGGAGCCATTGTTCACTAAACAACAGCTTTTTTAAATCAGTCAGGGAACATCTGAAAAACTGTGACGACACGATGTAATATTTGACGTGCACACAGTTGGTAAAAACGTTGACAACATCTGGAACGCCCTACTGAACACAGATAGCCTCAGGATGTGTGGTCAGCCATCTAGACTCAAAGCTTTAACGTAAAGAGTCCATTTGTCTCCATTAAAACACCTGATTTACTGACGGCGCTGTGAATAAAAGGTGTTGGGTTCATTGACTCCTCTGCAGATGTTGCACGAGGCGGCCTTGTATTCGTCCACGTGGTCTGCTCGGGGGAAATGTCCTCATCGCAACTTTTGGGAGGAAGTCTGGGGAACATGGGGATCAGCCATGTTTCTGTAAGGCAGGTGATATCACAGTCCTGCGTGTCCCTCTGGTATTTGATCCCTGGCCTCGGGGTCGCCCAGCTTTGTTCTCCTGGGACTGGACGTTGGCAGCGGCGGAGGGTGTGCCCTGTTCCTGATGCCAGCTCGTTCTCCTCTGGGCCTCCTCCGCGACCTGGAGCCAGCACATCCTTTGTTGTTGATGTTGGCTCTCCGCTGAGTCTCGCCCCGGCCAAGTTGGATCAGGAGAAACACTCATAAGAGAAGCAGCGTGAGCGCTCTACTCCCGTCTGTGACAAGACACAGAGCGGCCGGCGTTCACACGCTGAGTAAAACCAGAGCAGGTACGACGGCCGCGGCACTCAACCAGCGCCGGCGCCATCTTGTTTATTTACACACCGGAATACGCCTCCTCTTAAGACTGGTTTAACAAACGAGAGCATCGCCAAGTTCAGTATGAAGGTCTCTCACTTCCAAATGTTACAAATCTATTTAACAAGTGTTTATTGCTCAATCTTTCCGATATGAAACTGACAGAAGAACAATCTGTGCCTCCCCACGTTGCTGGAGAGTCTATCGGCCCCGCTGTGCGTGTTGATGCCTCATTGTTCAACCATCAGATGTCTCATTTCACAGTTAGATCACTGCACATCCTCCAAAGCCATCTACAAGTCTCTATGTAAAACACATGTGTGTTTTCTGTTGAAGGTCCAGCTCCTCTTTCTCCGTCCGTCAACGCCAGCACAATAATCAGATTCAAAAACTCAGTTTGAAAACTTCCAGCTGCTTCTATGAAGGCTCTTTGTCTCAAAAGCTCCAGAAGTAGTTGATGTGTTTTATGTCTTTAATGCCGCGTGGGGGCAACAGCTGACGTCAGCATGTGAAATAAGTCAAGTAGACCACACACGCCACAGCTGAACGCACGATCTGCGGCGAGGAACGAGACAGTGGAGGGATTGTACGCCGCAGAACGTTAGAGCCTCCAGAATATGAATACAGCTGTTAGAGAGTGACAGAAAATGATTTAACATATCCACTTGTGTGTGTGTGTGTGTGTGTGTGTGTGTGGGCGGACACACAGTGTGTTATGTGTGGACTGCAGATGAGACCTACCAGTCAGTCGAGCAGTGAAGGGCTCTCTGGGACTGAAGGGACATTTTCCTCTGCCCGACTCCACGATGTGAGACAACAAGAAGAATGGGCCCTGAGAGAGAGAGAGAGAGAGAGAGAGAGAGAGAGAGAGAGAGAGAGAGAGAGAGAGAGAGAGACCACACACAAACACAGGGTGATCAATAAACAAAAGGTCAAAGAGGAAACTGATTCTCTGCCTCCACTTCTCTCCCTCTCGTGTGTCGGTGGAAAACTGAAGCTCTGCAAACATTTATCTTTGATATCAAACTCCAGTGAAGCTGCACAGGAGATATCTGTCTTGCCATCACATTGTCTATTTTTGTACCATTATCAACGGGAGCAAGAAAAAGCACAATAACAAAGAACAGAATGTGCACAGAAAATCAAATAATTGAACTTTTGAGCGGATTTGTGACAAAACAAACAGAAAATGTTTCTTTTAGAAGATTCACTTTAAGGTTTTTCCTTCTACTACTCTTCATCCCTGTCTTACCTCGTTGCTGTGTCCTAAGTGCAGGTATGTGCACTGTGGGTGGAAGGCGCCGGTGCCGCAGACGTAGACGTGGGTCTTATTGAAGGGCTGCAGCAGCCGCACGAAGTTAGCGCAGTCCGTCTGAAAACAACACACAATAAAATATATTAGTATTTTGTTTTAACGTTCAGTTTGTTCACATTATGGACAGACACAGGAGGAATCCAGTATCTGAGCTCATCTATTATTCATATTATTTGTGTATGTGTAATATTAAACATGAATATTACCACGTACAAGAGTTAGCTTAAAGCTAATTTTAATGTGTTTTATCTTTAAGAAGATATATTTGTGGTTTTAAGATCCAAAAACCATCTCAGTGTAGTTTTACATCTCCTCTCTCAGGCTTCTCTCTGCAGCTCTAGTAACAACAGGTCGGTGAGCCAATCAGAGGAGAGGAGGCTCTGAGCCTCTCTTCTGATTGGCTGACTGTTTTCTGACTGATCCAATAAAAATATAGCAGATTTCAGGTAAAAACACTCAGAGAAACCAAATACTGCAAAGGATTGGATGGTGGGTCAAGGTGGGCGGGGCTTGGTGACTGCTTTGTTGTGACATCACAAAGTTCCAGAAGTCCTGACGGCTGGTTTTAAGGCTCAGTTTCTGAATACAGGCTGTGTGCATTTCTCTGTGGACTGAGGCTTTGATACTTTCACAGTATTAATATAGAAGCTAGACCTGATCTATAATCACACTACACATGGACACAGACCTTTACACTGGATGGGACATTTAAGGAAGGGAGAAAACTAACACTCAGCGAGGTGTTTGACCACCAGTTCTTTCAGTGAAATGAGCAGAAATGAGATGGAGGAAGAAAATATTGTGCCATATTTTGCTTGTTTTATCTTTTTCTAAATAGATTTCACCTCGTTAAAAAGACATTTACCTCCAGACTTTTTCCCGCCTGCCTGCAGTGCTCCACATGCTCCCTTGCAGCCGGCCAGTGCACCTGATGGAGAGAGTGAAACGACTGTCAGCTGCAACACTTTGAATAAAACATTTCCTTTATCAAAAACTCCAGACAGTCAGACGTGTTTTATTGTTTCATTTTCTTTTATTTCTGAGCTGAGACGCAGGAAACAAAGAGAAGCTCTGTCTCACCGTACGCGTGGGCAGGTCCAGGCTGTCAGGCCTCAGCAGGTAGATGTGGTCTTTACCCCCCACCAGCAGCCAGCCTTGATCCTCGTCCAGCAGCAGGGCCTGGTACCCCCCGCTGACCCCGCCCTTCCAGTAGACAGCCGAGCTGTTCCTCAGGTCTGAGAGAGAGAGAGAGAGAGAGAGAAGAAACATTTCACTCACAATACAAGACTTTAACGTTCTTCATTCAGGTCGTGGTTGTCTTTGACTCCGTGTCTCAAACACACAGCGATGAAGTCGTCAGAAGCTTTTATCCAAAGCGACTTACGAGTGAGAGACGTCACTAAAGCCTCGGTGCAGCAGGAGACCTTGGTGAAACTACTGCATCTATTTAGTAAGTGCAAGGAGATCAGGTAGAGATAGTAAGTGCTAGTTAGGCATGTTCGGGCGTTAGAGGTTTTTCTCATGAAAAAATGTTTGGGTCTGGATGTAAAACAAAATCAGACATATTAATGGCGTTGACATCTGTTAGTTTGTATAGTTTGGTGCAGATCCAGATAATAATGTGGATCTGGTGGAAGGAAAATGTTTGGCCTTGGAGGAGGTTTCCACTAATGGTCTAGTTCTGTACCATCACTCAAGTCAAACTCTCACTTATTGCTGCTTTTACTTATTTAAATGCTTCCTTCACCACTGTAACACACACACACACACACACACACACACACACACTTGCAGCAGCAGCAGTTCATCAGTGGGGCTGCAGAGCCGCTGCCTCTGGTGTCTCTGGGGAGTCGGTGCTAAAGCAGGCAGAAAACGACCTGAACAAGCAGAGCAAATTAACCTTGAAACTGTGGCTGTGCCCCGCTGCTCGGCCGCCACGCTGTTTATTCTGTAACGCCGTCAGACAGGCCTCCCTGAGCTGTGCATGATGACTGGAGCGAGGAGGGCAAACCACTGGGTTTTATTCCAACGTGCAATACATCCAGACTGAAAAGATGTATGGTCCAATAATTATAATAATAATAATAATAAAACTGATGTAGAGCAAAAAATATATTTCATGCCACAAGTCGTTTTCAGTTATTAAGTTTCATGTTTTCTTATAGTTTGATTTTTCAAATTAAACCTCATGTTCTCCAGGAACAGAGAAATAAAACAGAAAAATAATTAGCAAAATGTCTCTGGTTTAAACTTAAATATCTTCACTTAAATGTTAATATTTGTTACTGTCTTTGTCTCATTCAATAGGAAAGTGAACATCCTGAAGTTCTATAAAGTATTTTGATCAAAACAAACAATTTGAAGAATATTTTATATATTATTTTATACATATTTTTTTTATTGATCAAATAGTGAACTGATTAACTTAGAAAATAATCCAGACATTAGACAATGATCCTTAGTTGCTGCATTTAACTGTGGGATGAATCTTTAACATAAAACTGTTGGTTGTCGTTTAAAAATAGGTCACAGGACTTTTTCTATGGGTTTCCATTGTGTAAACTAAAAATAAAAAACCCTTTATGTTCTTATAACTCCTACACCTGCATTAGATTTGCTGACTTTGGGTCTAACTGTAGGTAAATCCAGCTGTAAATCAAATCAAAGCTAAAGGAATTAACCCTGACATCCTCCGTGTTTTCCCGCCTGTAACGTGCCCTGCTTCGTCCGCCTCGCTGCGCCGTAAATAATCACCCGATGAACGAAGGAAATTAACCGTGAAACTCCTGGAGTCTGTCGTCAGGCTCGGACCCCCACGCTGAAGTCTGAACCCCCGGTTGTGCGCAGAGACGCCGCTGCTGTGTGTGGCTGATGGGACGGCGGGAGTCGCGGCTTTGAACGCAGCACGGCACATTTGTCACACTTCAGCACCATTTAAAAAGAAATCCATCACTGTTTTCATCAAGCGCAGACGGTGGGACAGAAGAGTTTCTGCTTCCTAAGCGGCCGTGGAGGAGAGAGCTGACGTCACCTGCACGACGACGTGGTCGAGTTTATTTGTGAAGCCTTAAATCACACTTAGTCTGAAGGAGTTTCACCCTCAGCCCCCCCCCCCCGGTTAGAAAAATAATAAATGAAGCGATGAAGGAAAGTTATTCTTCAGCCATGAGAGGCAGAGGTGTCACACACTCCTCATTTAGATCCTTCTTTTCTGACTGATGATTTCTCCTGTTTATCTTGTGTGTTTGTGTTTTCCATTAAAGTTGTCGGACGATTAAAATTACACAAACCTGACACTGAACTTTTAATTTCAATTTAAAGCTCCATATTTCCTTCTTCTTCTGTGTTTTATTTGAAGTGTTGATCCATAAGAAGATATATTTGTGTTTTTAAGAACCAAAAAACCATCTCAGTGTAGTTTTAAACTAGTAACAACAGGTCTGTGAGCCAATCAGAAGAGAGGAGGCTCTGAGCCTCTCTTCTGATTGGCTGACTGTTTTCTGAGTGATCCAATAAAATATAGCAGATTTCAGGTAAAAACACTCAGAGAAACCAAATCCTGCAAGGATTGAATGGTGGGTCCAGGTGGGCGGGGCTTGGTGACTGCTTTGTTGTGACATCACAAAGTTCCAGAAGTCCTGACGGCTGGTTTTAAGGCTCAGTTTCTGAATACAGGCTGTGTGCATTTCTCTGTGGACTGAGGCTTTGATACTTTCACAGTATTAATATAGAAGCTAGACCTGATCTATAATCACACTACACATGGACACAGACCTTTACACTGGAGGAGCTTTAAAAAGTTGATTTAACTCTCTGTAACCTTCACTACAAAGCTCTAAAAACATCTAAAAACATCTAAACACATCAGATCAAACTCTGTGAAACAACCAGTGAATCCTGCACGTTGTCGTTCACTTTTACTCACAGCAATATTTCACTCCTCAGACTCATTTTTCCTGAATGTCTGGAGACCAAAGCGAGTGCAGGTGATCGACAGAGTGCAGTATTTTTTCGGTTCTTTCATCGTCTGTAACTTGGAAAAACAAGAAAAATATTAGGAGAATGTTGCGCTGAAAACAGGACGCCTTCACCTGTTTGACTCGAGGGAAAAAACCCCAGAGCTGTTTCACTGATCCTCCATACAATCCCAGACTTGGTGAGTGTGGAGCACTTTAAAGGAGCACGTGTCCATTAACCTGTTGTCAGTTATAACATTATGTCGTGTTGGATAAATGCAGATTGTGCGTTCGACACACAACGACAGTTATTGGAAGTGCAGAGGTTTCTCTGCTGATTACAGCTCTGGAAAACATTACACAAACAGTTTATCTTAAACTGTCCCAAATGTCCTACAACACACAGACACGAGTCCTGATGACTTTCACACATGGAATGATGCCTTGTGGTCTGCACAGAGGTATCTAAGGTGCAGCACACACACACACACACACACACACACACACACACACACACACACACACACACTACAAAGTTGAGTGTAAGCCTCCAGCTTTTCCTCCTAAATCAGATCTAAAAGCATCTGCAACATCTGTTCATGCACCGTTTATGAGATCTTCACAGCTCATTTCTCATTGAGACAATCAGGCTCACACACACACACACACACACACACACACACACTGACGTAAAATTACTGGATTTGATAGAAGTTGTGGGAACAGTCTGCGCTCTTTGAGTTTCACGTTTCATTTAAGGAGTCGACAGTCTTTTCTTTATCAGGTTGTGATCGTTGCTCAGACTCAACACCCTAATGGCTTTTTGTCACTTCACTCCTAACAAGCTGCTGTTGCCGCAGCTGAAGACATGAAGCACATCACTTCCTGTCTGCTGCAGAATCGCCGCCAGGACAGACCCAACACTGTGCAGCAGATCTGGGGCTGAAACGATGAGCTCCACCGTGCTGGAAGGAGGAAGCTGCCTTCAAATGACCCAACACCTGATTTTAACTTTGACGCACGATGATGGAACGACCTTAAAACCTTAAAAGTTCCCGTGAAAAAAAAAGTGGCGTGTTGTCAAGGTTGCTAGGCGACAGGTTCACAACGTCTGCGATTTACTTCCCGCGGTGGGTTTTCGTTCTTGCCCATGAACACAAACACCTGGTGAATACAGCATGAACAGTATCTCTGAGATATACAGCTTTATATAGATCACCACTCGGCTGACACACAATGGATTGTGGGATACCGAGGGCTGCACATGATACATCTGATGTGTCCTCCAAACGTCAACTGGGATACAGCAAAAAGTGCTTTTCTGAGCTGGTGTTTGTTTGAAATATTAAAAGTATGGACACGGACAATAAACTGTATGTAAAAAAGGAAAATGTGAAACAGATAGATAAAAATAAGATGTGAGAACTCAAGAGAAAAAGAAGCAGATGAAACGGCACTGATGTATCTGTGGAGTATTAGCCGGAGCCTCAGAGAGGGATAGAGCTGGAGACAATAAAAGTAAAAGCAGGATTTTCATTTTATGGACCTGCTGCACTTGGCTCTGCCTCAGCGACTCCTATGGATCCCATCCATCAGGCGAGCCAGCGATGGGAAACGGACCACATGATGAAAGACAACGTAGCAGGAGATATATCTCAAAGTGATCTCCCTCGCCGAGGGGGACGCGGCGGAAAAGCACGACATGAAATACTGAGGAGGAGACGAAACCAAACGCCTTTCATCACACACTTCAGATTTGTCATTTTCAGCCCTGAAGTTTTCTATTAGTTTTCCTGATAACTCGTGAAACCTCCCACATTTTTCACGTCGGCAGTCGACTACAAAATGCATTAAAACATGTAAAAAAAAAAAAAAAAACCAGGAGACTTTCCACAGCAGAATCCATCCTGACGGCGAGCGAGTGAAGATAAAGACAAAGTGCATTAAAGCGTCAGTGCAGTCCGGGTTTGATTATTTGATTTAGTCAAAGCTTCGGCTCAGTCTGGATACGATTCACTTAAAATGGCTAAATGTTTCTTTTCGTTTCAATCAAAGCAGCTGATGGTGATTGCTTCTGATTGGTCAGCGGTGATCTGGATTAGTTCTGATTGGTCAGTGGCAGGAGGTCATGACCTCTACACATCTTGATTCAGGTACGGCTTTTAGTTCTGCTTTCATTCTTGGTGTGTGTGTGTGTCTGTGTGTGTGTGTGTGTGTGTGTGTGTGTGTGTGTGTGTGTGTGTGTGTGTGAGGTCAGGATTAGTTGTGTTGAAGGTCAG